AAACCAAACAAAACAAACTAACAAAAACAAAACAGGGAAGTGAAATCGTGGAGAACACAAAAAGAAGGAGATGAAAAGGAAAAGAACGGAAAAAGCAGAAGCGTAGGTGGAGGGAAAAAGAAAGGAGAGAGGTGAGTACCCAAGAATTCGCTCTGCAAGTGTCAACCCAAGTATAGAAAAGACGCTGTGTGATGGGACACTCCTCTTGTCTCAAGACAGCCTGTAGTGGTTACCGAGGAGGGCAGGAATGAAGAAACAAACTGAGAAAAGAGGATGTGTATTCCTTGTTCCAGAGCAAGAGGAAAACAAAGGTCACCAATCTTCTGAATGCTTCCTTGCAGTCCAGGGCTTCTGGAGATGCAAGCACAAAGAGCCCACCTGATCTCTTGTAGACAGGGTAGGGGAAAACCCCACTGACTATGTATACACTTCAGAGGAATCAGCATAAGAAAGATGAGGTTTCCTGGAACTTTATCCACCCTGATCAAACCCCTGCAGCTCAAGTCTATAAAAATTCTCACCATCTTCCATGAGTTTCATGGTTTTCCATCCATTTCCCCTCAGATGTCCTGAGGGAAGAATCCACCTGCATTATCTTCATGTCTGCTGTGCAGGCGAGGAAATGCTGCCTTTGTGCATTTAAAGGGATTTCTCAGATCTCACGGGGCTAGGAGTCTGAGAGACAAAAAAAGGGTGAAGCCATAGTTACCAGTATTTGTATAGAAATAATTCAGATCTGAGCAAGAAACCCGGTAGCTTCAAAAGCAGTGAGAGGAAACACGACACATCCTATTTGTACTAACCCTTTTCCAGTAACTTGGCAAAAAATCTTAAAACTTTTAAGGGTTTGCAAAGCTACTGAACTGTCCTTCATAGTTTTCCTGTTTTCCTTTGAGGCCAAACAGATTTCTGTGTGAAAGGACAACCTGCCCCTGACAGTGAAGCTGTCTGCCACTTCTTGTTTACAGTGGTTTACTCCGGTCCTGCGAAGCTGATCCCAGAGTCTCTGCCTTTTCTTGTGTTTTCAAGCTCAAGAAAAACAAAAAGGCTTCAAGAGCAGAGTAGGTGGCACATCAGCTCTGAGGTCAGACCAAGTTGCTCAGAGCTGTATCCAGATGAGTGTTAGAAGCATTTCCAAGGATGGAAATTGCACAAGCCCTCGGACTCTCCGGTCCTTCTCCCCAGAGTTGATCCCCAGTTAGTCAGTCCTCAGCCTGCATCCTGGCCAGGCATTCCACTTTCCACGGGGCATGACTCTGCACTGGTCCTGTTGAATTTCATAAAGTTCATGTTGGCCCATTCCTCCAGCCTTGGTAGGTGACAGTCCTGCCTGCCAGCATGTCTCTTAGTTCTCTCGCTTCATTGCTGCCTGAAAACTTGGTGAGAGTGCCTTCCATCACCACCTCCAGGTCACTGATAAAGGTGTTTGACATGACAGACTTCAGGACAGACCCCTGTGGTGCTCCACTACACCAGGCAAATTACAGCCCATTAACCATTAGCCTCAGAATGTCTTTAATATTTTTATCAATGATCTGGACAAGGGGATCAAGTTCACGTTCAGTAGGTTTGCTAGGAAAAAAAAAAAAAGAGGAACTTTTCAATACAACAAAATGTTTGTGCAAATGCTACAGAATGAATTTTGCAATCCTTTTTGAAGAAGGAAAATCCTTGTCTAAAAAAGGGCAACAAAGCTTGTGAAGGGTCTAGAGAACAAGTCTTTGGTGGAGTGGCTGAAGGAATTGGGGTTGTTTAAGCTGGAGAAAAGCAGCTCAGGGGAGACCTTCTCGCTCTCTGGGACTGCCTGAAATGAGGGGTGAAGCAAGGTGGGGCTCAGTCTCTTCTCCCAGGGAACAAGCAATAGAAGAGGAAACGGCTACAAGTTGCACCAGGGGAGGTTTAGATTGGACATGAGGAGAAATTAGGTGGAGTCACCATCCCCGGGGGTATTTAAAAGCACCCCTGGTGTTTAGGGACATGGCTTAGCAGTGGAGCTGGCAGTGCCAGGCTCACGGTTGGACTCCATCTTAAGGGGCTTTTCCAACCCAAGTGATTCTATGATTCTATGAAGCTGATGGTATCACTGTTTTTTATCCCTCTAACTGGGCACCCAATGACACTGTGATGGCCTCTCTTGGCTACCCTGCACAGGAAGTGTTGGCAGAAGAGCCTGTCCAGCCCTGGTACACGTGCACCCTGAAGGGGTTTACCTCTGTGCCCGAGGTTTTGCTGCAGGCTGTTGTGGCCACGCATGACTGTGCCCTGCACTGCAAGTGGGCAAGAGAAGCCCAGGAGAGCAGACCAGCTGCCTTGTCCTGGAGCCACCCCTGAACAAGGGGCAAGAAGGGACTTCTGAGGTCATTTGGGCTTTCCCTGGAGACCAGGTTTTGGAGTTATCAGGAGGCAGAAGAGGGAAAGTAATGGTTTTCCAAGCCAGCTCCCCTTTGGGCCCTTTGCAGGCTACCCTCACCTGTCCCAGAGCCTCTTGAGCAGGAGTGGCCACCTGCCAGCTCCTCACATCCTGACCGACTTCTCCTGAGAACTCAGCAAGGCAGAGTTCCACAGACAAGAGGAAATCCCTAGACAGCATGCAGCCCAGAGCGTGGAAAGGGGTTGGGTTTGTTTTGTTTTGTTTTTTTTTTTTTAAGGGTTAGGTTTGTTGGTTTGTTTTTTTCCCCAGCTTTCCCATGAGTGTATTTGGCAGCTCAGAGTCCCTGTCAGGATGCCAGTGGAAACTGGAGCTGGGGGGCTTCTCCCTGCCTGTGGGAGACTTCCCAGGAGTGCAAGGGATTTACGGATCACCACCTGTCACTTGGTGTCCCCTGCCGTGTCCCACTGAAGGCCATGTGCAGTGGCAAGCTGCCGACGGGTTTGCTGGTGACTGGCTACTTCATCTACCTGCTGGTGGGTGCGGCTGTGTTCCAGGCACTGGAGAGGACTGCTGAGCAGCAGGGAAAAGCAGCAGCTGCCCAGATGAAGGAGGCGTTTCTGCAGGAATTCACCCAGCTCACAGGGGCGGAGATGGAGCAGTTTATGAAGGTAAATGCCAGCTCTGCAGAAGCCCTTTCTCCTTCCTGTTTCCCCACCAGACATTGCTTCCTCTTCAGCCTTGCTCCACAGAAAACTTACGCAGCATTCAACTGATGTGGTCCTCTGGGTGATTTTAGCAAACCTCCAGCCCACTCCCTGGTCTGAGCAGGCAGGTGACATTGATGGTGAGTACAGCTTGTGTAGCTTGACAAAACCTGGTGTGCTAGCCGTTAACAGTCCCCACCCCACAACGTCCTGATTCTCTGGAGTCTCCCCTCCTGTTGATTTGGCTTTCGATGGGACTGGGCTCATCTGCTGCATCATGCTACGGTGGGTGGCAAGGCAGGGAAAATGAGGCTGTCTGAAATGACTGGGCATGGCTGCCACGTACAGCAGTGCCACAGAGAGCACAAAGGAAGAACACGGCAAGGGCTGCAATAATCTGTTGAGAGACAAAAAGAAGCCTAAACCTCTGGGGGCTGTGGGGGGCACAGTCAGGGTTTACTTTTTGAAGATGCTGCAGAAGTGAAACAGGTAGCCTGGCCAAGGGAAAGGTGTCACAGGAAGATGAGAATGAGTACGGCTGTCTTTGAGATTTCCCAGCTCTGTCTGCTACAGTGCAGAAGAAACTGGGGAGTGCAGAGAGCCTTGCTGTAAGGATTTCCACATGGGAAACTACCAGGGCTCAGAATGGGCCAGTTCACAGGGTAAGGAAAGGAGGGGAAGAACCGCTGCTTCTAATAACACAACCAGCAATCCAGTCCCCAGTTCACGTGTGCATGTGCCCTCCTACACCTTGGGGTTTTTTGTTTGGTTGTTTTTTTGGTGGGTATAAGTGGAGAAAAAAAAAAAAATAAGAGCGTAACTTTTCAAGAGAACAAAATCTTTGTGCAAGGGCTGTGGAATGAGATTTTCTAGTTTTGACTTTCTGGGACTCCAGCAAAAGAGATGGGAAGGGAGGAAGTTCTCCAGTGCAGTTTATTCCAGCTTCTGGCCTGCCCCTGGCAGAGCTCAACTCCAGCTTTTATCTAGGCTGTTTCTGTACACTTCCCATTATTATTGTTGTTTTTAATGTAAAAATAAAAAAGAAGACATTAACAGCACTTAGAATTACAACCGAGGAAGAAGGGAAGAGTCTGAAAATGCATAACATGGGCTGGAGGGGCTTGGGACAAACATCTAGTTAAACCCCTAACAGGAAAAATCTAACTAAAACCTAACTAAAAGCCTAACACCCAAAACCACGGGCTGGCTGCTGCGCAGGCCTGGAGGCGAAGGTGTGAGCAGTGTCAGTGTCGCTGCGGCGAGTGGTGTCCACAGGAAAGCAGCAGGAGTTGGCTAAATCCGTGGTGTGCTTGCAGCAAGCACTCCAGAAAAGCAGCCGTGTTGATTGCAGACTCTGCTTTCCCTCCCAGAACCTGACTGAAGCCATTCAGAATGGAGTCTTCCCACTTGGAAATGAATCACAAATTGAAGACAGCAACTGGGATTTCAGCAGCTCCTTCTTCTTTGCAGGCTGTAAATAGATGTTTTTGGGTTTTTTTTAAATTTTGTCGTGACTAACACAAGCCAGCCCTGAAACCATCTGGGAACATCCCATTGCAGCCCAGCAATCAAGGGTGCCTGTTTAAATATTTCAGGAAGGGCAAGACAGACAGCCCATGGAGTCTGACAGTGAACAGCTACCACTGAGCCAAGCAGTGGCTCTTTGAGCAGAATAGGACAAATTCTCTGTCCTCCACACTTGTAGGTGTTTAATAACAAGGCACCTAAACCATTTGCAGGCACAGTTGTCTCCACAATAGGTAGGTGTAATGCTTTCCAGCTATGTGTGTTTGTGTGTCTGATGCTCATTATGCCTGGTTATTAGGACCTGAATGGGTAATACTTTCAAAGGTAAGAACTCCTGCCCTTCATTGCCATGGAGATTAAGCAGCAACGGACTTGGTCCTGAGACTTCACCACTGCACATCTCTTTTTGCATTATTTTAGCTTGTGAAATACCAATGGCCTTTTATATTATTTCCCACTTGTTTCTTCTTCTCGAGACATCTTTTAAAATATTCTCTCTGCTCCCAGTTGTGGATGGGAGATTAAATGCACTTTCCTGGTCTTCCTTCTAGATTCAAATGGGCTTTAAATCTGAGAATGCTGTGAAGCTTAAAAGAATGGGAGGAAAGCTGCAGAGTCTGCTGGGGTGTGGACACTGTCTCAGTACCCTGTGCTGAGCTGTTAGTGAGCATATATTGACTTAGTAATATGCCAGCAGGGAAAAAAAGGAAAGGGGGCAGTACAACAAGCAGTGAAAAGAAAAAATCATCTACTAACGAGCACTATGCTCTAATTTACAATAGACAGCAAGCCCCATGGCAAGCACAGAATCCTGCTGATTTATAGCTAAACAGCAGTAACAGCTATAAATTCGATCTAGCATATTCCAGTCGAATCAGTTGTTATTGTGACACCTTTGATCCCCATGCCAGGTGCCAAAAAGGACTGTCATGATTTAACACCAGCCAGCAAAGGAGCCCCACATAGCCACTCACTCGTTCCCCATTGGTGGGAAGGGGGAGAGGATCAGAAAAGTACAAGTGAGAAAACTTGTGGCTTGAGATAAATACAGTTTAATAACTAATGCAAAACCCACACATGCAAGCAAAGCAAACCAAGGAATTCATTTACTGCTTCACATCAACAGGCATGTATTCAGCCATCGCCAGGAAAGCTGGTCTCTGTCACACATAATAGTCACTTGGGAAGACAAAACACCAGAACTTTGGATGTCCCCTGCTTCCTTCTCTTCCCTCAGCGTTGCATACTGAACATGATGTCATATGGTCTGCAATATCCCTTTGGTCAGCTGGGATCATCTGTCTCAGCTGTGTCCCCTCCTTCTCAGCTTCTTGTGCACCCCCAGCCTACTCACTGGTAGGGTGGTGTGCGGAGCAGGAAAGGCCTTGGTGCTGTAGGAGTGCTGCTCAGCAATAAGGAAAGCAACCCTGTGTTAGCAACACTGTTTCCAGACCCCATCCAAAACACAGTCCCATGCTAGCTACTGTGAATAAAATTAACTCTGTCCCAGCTAAACCAGCACAGGCAGACAGGCTGTCCCAGGAAAAGTGCCTCTTTGGGGCATTTTGGGGACTAGTAGCCAGTAAATCGCTCTTGTTTTATTTGTCTTTCCCAGAAGAAAACACAGCATTTTCCAGGTAATGGATGCCTTGAGATTAACTGTGATCAGGAAAGTGTGTTTTCTCAGGAAAGAGAAATACACAAAGTACACAAAGTACAGGACTCGTGGGCTTAAGGATGTGCCTTATGGGGTCTGAGAGGAACAAAGTCTCCAGTGCATTAAAGGACATCTTTGAAGTTCTGCAGCTGCTGTTCCACTACTTAGATAAATCCTCTTTTAGCAGAACATTAAGACAGAGTCTCTCCAGTGTCAATAAAGCAGCCACCAGTAAATTCTGGACTAATTAGTCTATTTTAATACACATTACACTGCCTTCAGGACTGGAGCCAGTTTCCAGACAGACCAACTTATGGGCATTTAGCCAGGGAGGTCACTAACACACAGGCAGACCAACAAGAAGCTAGGGTTGGCTATAAGTGATTTGGACATGGCAAACAGCCCGGGACTCCAGCCTCAAGGTCTCCCAGGTCCCCACATTTCTGGTTTCTGTCTTTCCATGTCACATTTTCCATAACTGCTTTTAGATTTTGCTTTTATTCCCACTAAGGCTGGGCTGGGAGAATGCAGTGCTCTCTGCATCCCCCAAAATATGCAGGGTGATTCACTTCATCTACTTACTGCCTTTTTCAGGGAAAAAAAGATATGGACTGAGAAGTGCTACCACATCTTTCAGGGTCAAAGGCAGGCCAGGTTGACATAGATTTGAATGTGACCATGGACTGCTCCAGTTCTTTGAAATATCTCCTCTGACCCATTTTTTTTTCATAGGCTATGGCACGCTACATCCTAAAACTGCTGGGGGACAGATCTTCTGTGTGTTTTTTGCTCTGTTTGGAATCCCTCTGAATATTGTTTTTCTGCACCGTGTTGGTAAGATGCTCTCCCTGCTGTGTAAAAAGCTTGGAAAATACCTGCACGAGAAAGGAATGAGGAAGGTAATTGGTTTTACTTACTCAGACATGGTTATATGCTCATTTCTAGGCTATTTTTTTCTCAAGTTGTATCCTGACATTATTCTCTGCTACAGTTGTTCTCACGCTGTTGTTCTGGGAGTGAGAAAGAGACGTTCTTCACTTGCAGAGCTAAATAGACAAGGCAACCATAGAGGAGATATTCTGAGAAAGGGATGCATTTTGTCTACCCATCCCAATTGCAGACATCCAGCTCCCTTCAGCCATCAATGGAGAGAGTGGGTGTCTCATCCCGCTTCTCTAGACACTTATCTCAGGAGCTAACACTCTAAAGAAGCACCTGTCTCCCTTTGCAACCAGGAAAGAGAGAGAGGATTAAGCATCTCTTTTCAAGGCAGCAAAAAGCAACTGAGCTGTAAAAAGTAGGTGAGCTGTAGGGTTTTCAGTAGGTATTGGCTCAATGCCTAGTATGTCACCCCTCCTTATTTGTTCTGTAGTCCTTTAATCCCTCTCCTCCCTTGACTTTGACAGAAAGGAAACATCAGGCTGAAGCTGTCTAGTTGAGCCCAATTGCTGAAAGGTGAGGAGGGACCTGTAAAGGGCTTGAGACAGGATGTGTCTTGCCTGGTTATGCCCCAAGTTACTTGCAGCTTCTCCCCTTCTCTCATCACTACTGGGAAAGTGACAATGGCTTTTCTGTGTCTCCTACTGTCATTTTCTTTCAGGACAAGGTATGAATGCTACAGACAATCCTGTTCAAATTGCTAAAGTTCTCCTCAAGCCTGGAAAACTTAAATAGAACATAAGGCTTGATTTGGTATAGACTTTGTGCATAAACACAAAGCACGAAGGCATGAAAAATTATCCAACAGTTGCCATTAATAAGTCCAGACAATCTGGACTTATAAAATTCTATACATGAACTATATATGTGTCTGACTGATAAATCTTAATATATATCAAGTCTTTTTTCTCCAGTCAAGGCTTCTTCAAGACTACTGGGAAGTAGGATGGTTAAAAAGTCACAAGTGTCCAGGCACTTCTTGAAGGTCTTCTTGTAGTAAGGTATCCACTGGGTAGTAGCCAGGTTGTGGCACTGATACAGTGAGAAATAAACTCAATAATTAAGACTTTTGGGCATAGTACTGTCAGAAATGCTGTAAATATATTTATTTATTTATTTATTTTTAAGTCTCTTTTCCCAGGCAATTTTGAATGCTCTTCAGGTGCCACACCTGAATACCTAAAACATAAAAGTGAAGTTGTCTGGTGAAAAGTGAAAATAGTCTGACCCCAGTAAAAGTCATTGGATAGGACTTCATTCTGTACTCACAGTCATTGAAGGCTGATACCATCAGAGAAAAGACTGTATCTCTCAGGGCTACTGTGGACATGCTGCAGCTGTAATACATGGCTTTCCCCTGCTTCAGAGCAAGGCTAGGGCACTTTTAGAGGAAGACCACTAAGTACAAGCCCTTCCGTTCCTGTGGTCCTGGCAGATATTCCATGGTAGATAGCCACTCTTTTTGAATAGCCAACACTATATATGGCCTGCTGGTGTGTCAAATCATAATTACATAATGGAATTTGTTTCTTTCTTTTTCAGAAGAAGATCAAATTTCTGACCCTTTTGTTCTTCTTGGTTACGGGGGTCCTAGTTTTTCTGTGCTTGCCATCACTTTTCTTCCAGATAACAGAGGGCTGGTCCTACAGCGAAGGAATTTACTTTGCATTTATCACCCTCAGCACCATTGGCTTTGGAGACTATGTAGTAGGTAAGGTTGATTTCAGGGAGGGGACAGAGCAAAGCGCCAGGGTTATGACTGTAATTGTCATGGTTTGACTGCGCAGGCCACCAATATAACGTAGAGACAAAGTCTCAGTCTTTGCCTTGTACTGCTCTGGGAGAAACACTAATTTCTCTGGGATTGCATGTGCTGATAAAAAGCACAAAATTGTCTAAACATAATGGAACATGGTGCTTTGGCATGCAAATCAGCCAAGTATTTGGAGGAGGGAAGGAGGAAGTGTAAGGGAGAATTCAAGGAGCCAAGGAATTTGCACATACCGAAAGGGAACAGTTTGCAACACCCAAAATAAGGCACTGACCCCTGCTTGGGCCATCTGAAACTTATATTTCAAAGCATAAATAAATAGGGGGTAATGTTTCAGAAGACATGGTTTTACACGACACCGAAAAGTGGAAATTCCAGTCATGGGAAAGTCTGCCTATCTACCCATTCTATGAACAGTGGGGCTTAGACATGCACATCACTGTGAAATTGGCTTTCTTTGGCCTCCTATGCATCACTGGAGCTCCCTGTGTTCACAAGACAGAGCTTAGGATTTCCCTTGAAGATGAACTCTTTAAGTTAAGCTCCAGCATGCTGGAGTGCTTCCCAAAACACTTCCATGGATCTGCTGGCCAAAATTCTATCTCCGTGCAATAAGTTTCCAGAGGAATTCCAAAATCACACCAAAATGATCCCCAGGAGCCAAATCAGTACCCACAGAAGAAGCAATCAAATGCCTGGACTTGATGGAGAATCAACGATTTCTCTACAATCAACCTGTCCTGCCAGCATCTTGTCAACCTGAACTTCTCTTTGGTGGGGATATGAGAAAGAATCTCCAAAGTTAATATTTGAGCAACAGTGCTGTCCCTAAAGAGAATGTGGAAGCCTCATGTCCCTTTCCAATGGACAGGCATCTACCACACAACAACTCCTGGGCTCTCAAGCCTCGCAGAGATGCAAGAGGGGTCTTGGAGACTTGGCTGGCAGCCTTGCTGTGGCTTTGAAAGATTTCGTACATCTGGCCAAGGGCTTTGGCAGAGGGCCCATAAGCTTTTCAGGACACTGTCTGATGTTCTCTGCTGACCTTAACTTCTCTGAGTCTGCCAAAGAGTCTGGGTAGTGCTTTGACATCTTGCTTGTTTGCATGAGTTTAGTGATTGCTGCAATCTTGTATCCTAGCTGATGGTTAATTCACACAATGGCAATGAGTTATTAGTTCACATTTCTCCAGGTGATCCCAGCCATCTAACTGCTCCCTCCTGCCAGAAAGCACAAGCAATGAGTGTCCCTTGAAATTCCTCTTTTCCCATAAGCCAGAGAAAGACTCTTTGTCTCCAACAGGGGTCAAGCAGTATTGCCACAAACACGACACAGCAAGTAATCTGTATCACAAAACAGTGACCCTCTTCACTCACTGCACTCTGCAGCTGGAGCCTAACTTTGTCACTTCAGTGGAGGACAACAGGACACAGGACAGACAGGACTGATAGCCCTGGCCTGTGTGACACTAAGAACCTCAAACTTCAATGACATGGAGTACAGGAAGGTGGAGAGTGGCTAGTGCCATGCAGAAGAAAAAGTGAACATCAAACTGGTGCATTCTCTTCCCTTGTCCAAACTACAAGTGTGTTTTACAATAATGACAGGAAGTTACAGCCTGAAAACCACTACCTCCAGAGCACTTTCCTCCTCTGCAGCCATGTTATATTTTACAAGTACAGTTAAAAAATAACAGGCTCCTGGCTCTGTGATTTCCTCTTCATTAGCGTAACTTCACTGCAGCTGAAATATTTTCCCCTGCAGAATTTATCTCAATCGGCCTTAAACAACAGTGTTAAAATGATGATAAGTTTAATGCCTCCCAAGGAAACAAGCAGAATCGATGACTGCTCCGACTGTTACGTGATTAGAATTTATTATGGATGACAAATGGATTTATGCTGGCCAAGTGGAACAGAACAGGTTTGAATTTATTGGCATTATTAATTCAAAACTAGTTTGTAGCTGTTGTACTTCAAACATGAGAAAAAGCCTGGTTTGAGTAGGGAGACAGAGTCTGGATTAAACTGTAATACACATACACACAGGTGATACTTCTAGAAGGAAACTCCCCCTGGGCTATAAACTGAATTTATGCCTCGCTGAAGTCTAGTTTTGAGTTAACCTTGCAAAGATAGTACTAGTTGCTTTGCTAACACCTCATCATGATCCTCAGAGAAGAGCACAGAAAGAGATGTGCTGTAGCAAGGTTGGCATCCCCTCTGCAAACTCATCCCCAGCAGAAGAAAAAGAAACAGCTGTTGGAGATCCAACCCACTCCTGCCCCATTTCCATAACTCTTGCACGATGAAGTACAGGAATCCTGCACATTGATCAGTACAGAGCACTGCAGGACAGGAAAAGAGCTGTCAGCATCCTGGCTCCTTCCAGGCCTCTTCACAATGGGAAATGATTCACCAGGTTTGTGGTGATCTCCTTGTCCATGCACATTCCCGTGTTATCTACTATTTGGCCTCACCCTTGACAGTGGCTTGCACTCAATAAGCAGTATCACCAAGTTTTCCTGTGGCTGGCAGGGCCACATCAGCTGTATCATGATGGTAACATTGTGTGGGACTAAGTGCAGGAGGAACAAATGCTCTCTGTATGTTGGTGGTGCATTGCTGACGTCTGAGGAAACAAACCAGATGATCCATGCAGAAAAGGGAGTGTGTGGTACTGGCTGATGCTCAGAGGTTTGGACTATAGGAAATAAGCTTTCAGTCCACTGGTTTCCAACACAGAAAGTTGGGTTCTTGGCATGTGTCAGTGAGATCTCGTTAGTCACCTTGGTTTTTAGTGGAGGAAGCTCCTGAAGCCGTTCAAAAGTAAAGCAGAAATTGCAACTCTTTTTGTATGATTAAGGGTATCCATAAGTTAAAGCAAATATTCCTTAGGTTATAATCACACTTCATACAGCTACACAAAATTAAAATTACCTGTTTAGAATTAGTAATGTGGCCCACTGTGCTCTGCTTTTTGTGCTTTGGGAGTTTGGGAATATTTTCAAGATAATACAATACAATTTTACACTGCTTCCCATATTGTTGCATCTACAACCTGTAGGTGCAGAGGGTGAACTGGCATTGTTATGCTCAAAGGGGAAATAAATACCCTGCTCTGATACTAATTTGCCTCAATCCCAGTCTATCTTTTTGACAGGTCAACATATTTGTGCTAGCCTGTATCAGTTTAAAGCAGCAAGAAGAGTCTTGCCCAGCCTCAACCTAATTCTGGGGAAGTGAGAGACTCCACTACAATGAAAAAGTCACCTTAAAATACTCAGCATAAAATACATTGATGAATCCATCAGGCTTGCTCACTTTACCCAGGCAAAGCAATTTTAACTTGTTAATTTTCTTCTTCTTTCTCTTCCCATACCTGCAGGTAAACAGCCTGGCAGGAAATACTTCTCCTGCTACCGAACACTGGTGGCCATTTGGATTCTTTTTGGCCTTGCCTGGATTGCTCTCCTGTTTAATTTACTGACAACGGTACTAGAAGATACTGAAAAAATAATCGTCAAGGATCTACATCAAATTGGAAAGGTGAGTAAGGACAATGAAGCAAACCAACAAAGAAGATGCTGGCCTGCTCGGTTTATTCCAGAAGAACTACTACCACCACGTGCTGGAGGGGATGCACAGAAAATGGAGTCACTACCAGCAGATGCTGAACATGCAAAAAGTGAAAACAAAATGTCTTACAACAAAACTGTTGTCATAACACATGAGAATTGAATTCTTCATCGAGAGGTGCTAGTGAATTATTCTAAAGACATTCCCATGGAAATAAAATTTCTCCTACCTTTTTCTGAGATATGGCCTTTCAGAACTCAAGACTCACCACCATTAGAAAGCTGAATGCTAATGCTAAGAAATTTGCTCTTCAATTTGCAGCTAGGTTGTAATAACAGCCTGACAAGTGCATTTATTTTGCAAGGTATTTTTGCAGTGCTTCCACGAGGAGGGGCATGGTAGAGTTTGCTGGTAACATTTGCATTTTGCTGCTTGCAAGAAATCATGTCTCTTCCAGGAACTGACATGCACAAGCTTTTCTGAGACATTGCATAGCACCTTTGGAAGAAGATGTAAGGGTGTATAACTTAATAGATGCCAGATTTGAGCCATCATAATGGATAAACTATTATGATCTGAAATACTTGTTTAAAGGACAAGACCTAGGGTCAATTCAGGGACAATAGAAGCATCTAATGGACAGGATTAGAAAAAGTTTAGTGTGCTAGAAATTATTAATTCTACCTCTTTCTTTTTTATACTAAAATAAATAAAGGTAATTTCACCTTTTATTCCTGTGGCTTTCTGATGGTGTTTAGAAACAACATATAAACCCACGTCTTTAATTAAAATTTTATCATTTCATTCTATAAACATTTCATAAGAACAGAGACTGGCTTAAGTGGAGGAGTCCTCACTGCATCAGAGCCTTGCTGCTATGTTTACATTCCATAGGAACTATAAAGGCAGTTTAAAACAGTTCTGTTGTGCTGTGCTAAGATAGGTTTCCAGGTGTGCGTGTCATCAGCCAGTGCAGCCTTATCTTCAAGCAAGGAAAAGGAGGATGTCAAATGTGGGCATGGTGTTTCACCTGTACCCCCTAGCATGCAGGCTGTCCTTGGGTGAAGACCCTTTAAAGGCCTGATCTACACCTCAGGTGCCTTGTGTGTGTCAAGAGTGCTGGCAAAGCAGCTGTGGTAGGCACAGTCCTGGAGGTGGAAAGTCCCACGGGTGTGTACGGTTACACCAAAAGTCAGTCCAGTCCAATATCCTGTCTCTGACAATGTCTACTAACATAAGCCTCCAAACAGGACAAGAATGAGGCAGCTCTGCCATGCTTGGCTGTAATCTTCCTGCCAGTAGTTGGTGGCTCAAAAGCTACCCAAACGAGAGATTGGGCCTCTGTACTTCAAAACCCATTAATTTGCCTAAATGCTGAACTCACATCAGCACCCATTCCAGGCAGTCCATAGGGTCGGTACCCAAAGTGTCTCCATCTGATGGTGCTGAACTTGTTGCTTGACAGGCACTCATGATACCCTCAAGTTTCTATGTTGTCAAACAATGAATAATTGTTCTTGACACACCCGCTGAGTGTCAGTTACAGCAAGACTACAAGAGTTGCCAGAGCTATTCCTGTATGAAAAGGAGAATAAATTAACAGCTATAGAGCAATTTTAGGCCATAAAGATGCAATCATCCTTACAGTTGGGTTCGTAATGGTTTCAATCAAAAAAAATCACTTCTTGCCAAAACACCTCAGCTAATTCAAGACCTGGCATTTAGACCTGACCAAATATGTACTTTCTTTCCCTCTGCAAATTATTTTCCAGTGTTGCCCTCAAGGCCGACTTCTTGCCTAATATGTCTCACTCTCAGTAAATCTTTCTGAGGCAGGAGGAACAAGAACTCACCAAAATCAGGACAAGGTGGCAGGGGTATCATAGAACACAGTGGTCCTTCTGCAAGCCCTGACTCTGTTCCTACCACAAGATGATACCACAGCCAGACAGAGAAAGCAGCTGGATGTTCCCAGGCAGGGTTCTCTTCACCTCTTTGTGTTTCCCTCTCCCCAAGCATTGACTCATATTATTATTTTCCAGGCATTACTTTTACTCTGCTGTCTTTTCCCAGTCTTCCCAGAAGGACTATTAACTCCATCTCCAACCTAACAGAGGTACTGTCAGAGCTGGTTTGGGAACAAGTGGTCCTGCCTTGGGATGTGATGACCATTTTGCACAGCCTATTGTAGTTTCTTCCAGGTCAGTTCCTGGTGTTTGACGCCCACCAGCCCAAGGTGGCAGGCAGGGCCTCTAGGCCAACACAACACATCTGTTTGCTGTCTCTACTGATGGTGAGAAAGAAGAGCTTCCAAGGAACATCTTAAAGTCAACACACCTCTGAAGGGTTTCCTGTAATTTATTCCCACTATCTTACTTGCTCCGTTTTGCTCCTGTTTGTAATGACTAACACAACCCAACCCTGAAACCATCCGATAACATTCCATTGCAGCAGAGCTATCAAAGACACCTGCTTAAATATTTCAGGAAGGGCAAGACAG